GTGTTCTGTCCTGGGTGGGTGTTCTGTCCTGGGTGGGTGTTCTGTCCTGGGTGGGTGTTCTGTCCTGGGTGGGTGGGTGTCTTCTGTCCTGGACAATATTTTTTATTTAAAATGGGCAAGTTCGAGAGAATCTGAAAATTTTAACTTGGAAAAAAAAAGGCATACAGATTTCCCTTTTCAGCCACATGATAAGATACCATTAACACCCACCAGTCTGGCAAAAATTCAAGTTTGACAATTCTCTTTGAAACTGCTGGTAGGAAAACAATCTTCCATTACCTAGCAAAGTTGACAATTTGCATTCTCTATTTCATTCCAGCAATTCCACAGCTAGATCTACATACTCTGAAGCAGTTAGTTCTTGGATTAATAGATCACTAGCACCTGCGAACCTGTTAGAAATGCAAATCCTTGGGACCCACCCCAGACCTCCTGAATCAGACATGATGAGCCCAGCGATCTGTGTTTAAATGGCCCTCCAGGTGATCCTGATGCACGGTCAAGTTTGAGAACCATGGTCTAGAGAAACTAATGTATTTGCACAAGGAGATATATACAACAATATTTTTGTAATAACAAAGAATTTCCATCGTTGTCAGAATGGATAAATTGTGGTGTATTCACACAGTGGAATACTATATGATCTACAATATAAATGATCTCAAGAATATAACGTTGAGTGGGGGTAAAAAGCATATTACGGAAAAATGCCTATTATTTCACTTATACAAAGTCAAAAACATGCAAAACAATATTAAAAAGCCATAACTGTTGTGGCTGGAGGAAAGCAAGTTGTTACATCTAGTGATAGCATGCCAGCATTTCAGTAAATGATAGTAAATACTTTAAAGTACAAGAGGATTTTTTTTTTAAACTTTGGGACAATGGTAGACTAAACTAAAATGATGTATTTCAGTCCCAGTGATGATCCTGGAAAGGGAAGTTCTCCTGAACATAGATGCTTGGTGATGTGATGGTGTAGAGCTGAGACCACTGAAGATAACCAGGAGGTAAGTTTATGTCAGAAAAGACCAGGGTAGAAACTGTGTCTACACAGGCACAAATGTTCACACTCTAAGGTTTTTCTAAAACCTAGATGTCAATCAAATGTCAAGAGAAAGCAAGGACACCATTAATGTGTCATCTGTTTGTCAGCTTATGTTTGACCTTCTCTCTATGCATTACCATGAACAGTGAAACCAGCCAATCATGCTCCTACAGTCAAGTCCTAGAGTTTAGCAACTTGGAAAATGCTCTTACTTATAGAATTTCAAGTACATTCTCATCCAAAAGAGCATTATTCTGTCAGTTTCAGATAAGCATCCTCAAGATATCATTAGCCCCAAACTTTCTCCCAAATTTTAGGTCCATATTTCTGTTTGCAAGGCCCTTTCCTGCTAAAAAATACCTGTGATGGATTGACCCTGTCTCCAAAGTAAAATCCAAACATCTCAAATTAGCATCCAACACCCTCTACAACCTAGACCCAAATTACTGCCCTTTACTATTCTTCAAATAAATCCTATGTAGCAGAAAATCAGAACTCTTATAATCTGTCTATGCCTCTGTGTTGTTACTTTTTTAAACTGATTGTCCCTTTTGCCTGAATACTCTACCCCTCATCACCACCCCTGCCCATTTCACCACATCCAAATCTTACTTTTATTTAAGATCTAGCTCAGTGCCATCTCCTTGGTGCTTTTGTGTGTGTGTGTGTGTGTATGTGTGTGTGAGGAAGATCAGCCCTGCGCTAACATCTGCCAATCCTCCTCTTTTTTTGCTGAGGAAGATTGGCCCTGGGCTAACATCCGTGCCCATCTTCCTCCACTTTATATGGGACGTCGCCACAGTATGGGTTGCCAAGCGGTGCGTCAGTGCGTGCCTAGGATCCCAACCGGCGAACCCCGGGCTGCCGCAGCGGAGCGTGCGCACTTAACTGCTTGCGCCACCAGGCTGGCCCCTGGTGAATTCTTTCTGATACCTACTCTTCTCCATTTTTCTTTCCTTTTCTTTCCTTTTTAACACTCAACACACATTTACTGAGCACCTGGATGGTCTGGCCTGAAGATTATGTATATGACGTCTGGCGTCACACAATCCTGAGTTGGAATCCCAGCTCCACAATATGGGTTCGGGCAAGCTATTTAACCTCTCTGAGATTCTGTTTCCTTTATTTCTAAAATGGGGATAATAATACCTCATAGAGTTGTTGCAGGGAAGAGAAGTACTTTGCAAACCATGGCTTTTCAGTAAATGATAGCTACTACGTGCTGTGGTCTCCAGATTCAAAGATGAATAAGCCACAGCATTTAGTGAGTTGGACTATCAGGTGAGAAAAGTGAGGCAAGGCAGCAACCAACTACCACATTCATCTAAGTTTCCTGGGTACTTGACTACATTTTAAAATTCACTCTTCTTCACTCTTGTGGATTATTTCTTCCTCTGACTTTGTATTACTCTTACATTTATTTTATTCCTCCCCTTGTTCACTAATCCATACAATAAGTATTTATTCAGTGCCCAGTACGGGCCAGGCACTGTTCTAGGCACTGCGGCTATCACGGTGAACAAAACACAGTCTCATGGGGGCCAGCCCGGTGGCATAGTGGTTAAGTTCGCGCACTCCACTTCAGTGGCCCGGGGTTCACAGGTTTGGATCCTGGGCACGGACTGATGCACCGCTTGTCAAGCCATGCTGTGGCAGCGTCCCATATAAAGCAGAGGAAGATGGGCACAGATGTTAGCCCAGGGCCAATCTTCCTCAGCAAAAAGAGGAGGATTGGCAACGGATGTTAGCTCAGGGCTAATCTTCCTCACAAAACAAAGAAACAAAAAAAAAAAACAGTCTTATGGAACTTTGCCCCATCTTTTCAGTTTACTGTTTCATTAACACAATACCTAAAGGGGATCTCTCAGACATTTATTAAAACACTGTAAATTCCTACTTGACTGCTTATTTATTTAGCTAGCACTAGTTTCTAGCTGGCTTCCATGGTCATCATAAGCCTTAACTATTACAATGTGCTACTTAGAATACTGGGATTTATTACTTATTCCCTCTGTAATTGGTTAGAGGTCCAACAGAAATCAAGACCTGGATATCTAAACCATTTGCCACATACATGTAGCTAGAGTTACATACATACTATTTTGATATTTCTCTCTAGTAAATGGAATTAACTCCAATTAGAGATGAAGATTTGCTAATAGTATCTCTAGGGTACTATCTTTTAGTGACCAGACCTTCCTCATTTCATGTTCCTAAATATAAAATTCCAAAAGTCCTTCAGTGAATCTAACCTTAAAATTTGCTTTGTTCTAATATTCTTAAAAGTAAAAAACAAAAAAACTTCTATAAGTTAACCATAAGAATATCAAAATTAGTTTATAATCCAGATTAATAAAAGGAGTTTCCATAATTTCTAATGTTTTGGAATATTAATCAGAAAGCTGAACAATTCTAACAAGTATTGTACATCTATTTGTGAAATTGTAGCTGTTTAGTTTGATAATGGACTTCCTCTTCTAATAATCTTTTAAGTCAAATTCTCTTGGTCGAGAATGTTACAATCTAACCTCTTTCTAAGCAAAATGTTTCAGTTCTATCTTTAAGAAGCTACATTTACTATTTGGTTCTTTCATCCTTCCTGCATGAATACACCCTACATGCTCTAGCACACAGATTCATAAATTTTCACACTTATCCCTCTCTCCCTCATTCCTGATATCTACTCTTCTGTCCTTGTAAAGACAATGGCCTAAGATAGCAACTGATTCTAATACTGGATCCTGCCAGCATGGAAATCGCTATCATCTGGCTTCCCCTGACAACTTCAGAGTATCTCTAACCATGCCAGAGAGAACCAGGGGCTGGTGGTGGTGGCAGCAACAGACAGAGGAAGACTTCCCAGAGCCAAGGCTGAGCCTCCTCAGCTGCCCAGAGGCAGGATGTGATTACCAATGGGCTTCTGGCTTCTTTCTCCAATTAAGAGAAGGGTCTGGAGTGTCCGAGTTCTGTGAAATGAGGGGCTCTCCTCCATCCCTCTTGGGTTGCAGAAACTCACTGGATTCTTGCAAGATCTCTAATGACCTAGCCCAAGCAGGAGTCAGGCCACAGAAGTAAATTAACGTTTTTGAAAATGCCTTTCCTGAAATAGAGATTTAACTTTAAATTTTTGCTTTAAAAAATGTAAGAGAATTCTGTGACCTAGTTTATTATAATATAAATGTACAT